AGCACAAAGAAAATTAAATGTAACCTCACTGCTGTGATTTGGACAGGGAAGCAGAAGCTGAAGCAGATATTTCACTCTTAATTCACTGCCATTCAGGGGTGCTGTTGACAGGAGATGGAGCCTGGCTCAGCGGAAGAGACACAAGATTAGGAATTTAGTAGGACCGGATCCTATTCCTCCTTCCGCTGCTGCTCTGCTGTCTAATCCTGGGTGAGTACATGCCCTCCGGGCATCTGGCTCCCCTCCCTCCCTGATACATCTATTTAAATTGCAAATTCAGAGGGTTAGTGACCATCTTGGCAATGACGAAGCATCTACAATACTCTGCACTAATATTTCTATTAATAAATATTCCCACTGCTATTAAGTAATAAAACAAAAACCACGATAGAAATTGAACGGTCAATGATGCATTATATGAGTTTTGAGGTATTTGGGTATAAAACGTAAAAGGAAACTCTGGCCTGCTACCGCTTGGGAGAGGACACCTATGTTCTTTTCCTGCATATTTGGGCAATCCAATTAGAGGTAATTGAGTTTTTAACTACATGAAATTACTTCAAGAATACCATCATTAAAGGGTAAGTCTCCTGGGAGGCTGGGGGAAGGGAGCAAAGAAACATTCTGAACCTGGAAGGAACAGAAAAGGGACAGGGCACACAGCCTGAAACATGCTGAAGAGAGCACACAGCTCAGCCTGTCCAAGGCATTTGTATTTTTTACAAACACATAAATAGCTGGGCTGCAGACTCAAAGGTTTGCATGTTCCCAGTTCAATGTATGGAATGCAACACTTCTATGCGTTTTTAATGCAATGGTAGTGTAAAGCCCAAATCTACAAGCACCAAAAGGCTCCTACAGTCCTGTAAACACCAAAGAAAAAAAAAAACCTAAAATTATTGTAATGAATTAATTCCTGCAAAACTGCCATTCACATGCAATGCATATGAGCACCTCTTTTACACGTTAAAATTAGCTTCACATTAAAGCCACCTCCCAACCAGAAACGGTCACTATATGCACCAAGAAACATTAGAACAGTTCTATTGCCAAACCTTAGATTTATTTTGCACACTCTGATAAGCCCTAGAAACACCAGAAACGTCATTCATTTCCAACAACCTTTGCTCTTTTTGATGGCTACTAAAATGTAAAGTACAAGCATTGGCAGGAAATAGTATTTTTAGCACTACTGCAACAATTAAGATTGCTACAGTTTCTTTTGCAGCTTTACACTGATTTGAGATTAGATTTAATAAGACTTTTACATATTCAGATATGCTGAAAGCCTGTTTCTTAATATGATGCTTAATAAGCAGAAAACTCGGAAGCACTTTCTTCCCCCACTTAGAGGTAAATCAAACCGATTGATTAGGAAGGTATGCTTCATACAGAGATCTAATTTACTGAAATAAAATTTAAAAGTTAATGAGAAAACTGCAAAGAAAAAACAGCTTCCCCTTGAAAGGAGAAAAAACACCCTAACAATTTAACAAAAGGAAAAATGAAGGAGACCCTATCCCCATGAGCTGTCTGTCTTGTGCTATAGGGGATGCTCTTGCTTAGCTTACAAGTGAGACACACTCCCTCCTCCCCTGCAAGCACAGGAACTCCACAGCACTAATACGACACCTTAAATGAGCCAACTTCCTTGAGCATTGCCCAGGAGACTAGAATGGGCATGTCTCTCAATTCAGAAACCCAGAAACATGTCCGATTATCACTCAGGCTGAAGAACATCTCTGACCAAGACGATCCCAGGAAAAACACTCATGTACAAGCTGAAAAAAAAAACCAACCGTGGATTGCTGCAACTGGCATATTTTTATAGCCTCTGTGTAAATACAAGCTCCGGATTAGCCAGCGTCTCAGCTAGCTGTATCTGGATTCCCTTCTTTTGAAACAAAATTAAGGAAAACAGGCACTAGAAAAAGGTCAGTGGCCAAACTACTAGGAAAAAAATAAAGGCACAGGAGAAGAACGTACAGAGTGATTCTTTAAACGTGTGCTGCCGAAACTCTAAAGTGAGCACAAAACAGACTTTTCACAGAAACTATACTTAATTTGCAGAACTGTTGAGCCAAACAGAGCATTAATTAGAATGGTATTTTTTAAGAAATTCTCAGTACTCCCCTAGAGCTGCACCCACCAGTACAAGTGGTGTGAATCCCACCGCTTACAGAGGAACAAAGCTAAAGCAACTATAAAGAGCACTGTCCTTGAAGGGCAGCACAACAAAAGCCCTACCTTCAGGTGCACACCTAGGCAAAACAAATGGACTGAGCATCTCAGGGTTTTAGAAAAACACTCAACTTGGAAAATAAGCATGTCATAAGGTGAGTGTTCAGGTGGGAATTCACCTTACACTGTCACTAGAATACATTGTCACGGATCATCAGCCAAATCATGCACGATAAGCAATGCTGCTTTCTACAATACTAACTCTGTTCGAGCCGAACAATTTGCATTTCACTACAGTGACTTTCCAAGATGCATCCCTGTCCTAATCTGAAAACATCAAGAATTAGAAATTTCATTGCATTCCAGAGTCAATTTTAACAGCAAGGCCAATTAACCAGTGGAACATTGTGAACTTTAGGTTTTATTTGTTCCTTCAGTTCCTATTTAGATCCTATTTGTTTAGCTAAGATTACTTGTTCTTGCTACATTTGCTGTTGCACTGTTCAGATTTGACATGTTCTGTGTTAAGGAAGCACTTAGTGTAAATTGAGTCATATCTAACCTTCTCTTAAACTAGAGGCAGAACACAGTACAAAGCACATCTTTCTGCCTTTGAATGGACCTTCGTGGCTCTTGTGTTCTTTCTGATTTTTGCATTCAAAATGCAGTCGGTGGAACTCTTCAGTCTATGAAACTTCCCAATATGCATTCAGAAGGAAATGTCCTTTCCTATTTATCGCCATACTATTCGCACACCCAAGGCCCACACACAAGCGCTGTGGCTAAGGGTCAGACCTGTTTACTCATGTAGCTAAACTTCCAAATCCTCTTTACAGAGCCTGATATTTACTCTTCTATTTATAATTTTGCATTTAGCCATATTAAAAGACATTTCATTCAAATGAGGCCAGCTTGTCAAAGCAGCCCTGTAAACTGCCAACTTGCATGTCATCCATAGAAATTCAACATCTGCTTCCACACACGGGACTGTGTCCTAGCAGAACACCCACAGAAATATTTCCATGCTGTGGTAACCAACAACTGCTTTAGAAATTACAAGTTAGCCAGTTAATTCATTTATTGTGCAGAATCTCAATAGTGTTCTTATTGCGTAACATAATTTCTATACAATTCTAAAAATCAATGTCATGTAATAACTATATCAAGCACCCTATAAAGAAAATACGGAAACATTCATCTTTCTCAACAAAACCTGTAATTTTATTGGTGTAAAATCTGCTTTGCTTGGTGTGATCCATTTTCCATAAATAGTACCAACTTCAAATATTCCTATCCTTAACTTTATTGTTAACTGTACTTATTTCTAATTTTTAAGTTGTTGTTCTTTAATCTAGGACTAAGGTCAGTCAGGGTGAGGATTTGTTTGTCTGGAACCGAACAAATTAAATCAGTCATCTCCTCACACTTTCTGAACACTGATAAAGTAACAATCAGTTATCTGGAGTATCCCCTATTATTCCAAACATGAAGATTTAAATGTCATGATGCTAGAAATCTCCTCATCCCAGTCTTTCACCATTCCTGGATGAAGTTTACTTAGGGCTGCAGATTTGAAATGTCCACTACTGCATACTGCATTTAATATCCATTTACAAATGCACTGGAAAGTACTTCCGTTGTCCTCATCATGTAGCATAAACTTTTCTTCTTCCTTTTCCCAGAAGAAAGGCCAACAGCTTTAAGAAATTCTGACTATATATTTTAACAGCCAGAAAAACTACAGATATTCAGTTAGAAGATTTTTTAAACTGAAAACCAAACATTTTCTGTCCACTAGCTTTTCTACACAAACAGAAAACGTCTCACAAAGCATACCAATCTCCCCCAGACTTCTAGATTTTAAAGACAAAGGAAGAAGATACAGTTTATACTACAGGAAAACAAGAAAACAATCTGGCAACTTTGCAAAAGCCGACACTACTTTTGGAAAAATAAGCTGCAAATGCTTCTACATTGTGAACTCTTTGGCAGATAATGAACACAGCACAGATATCCCTGACAAAATAAATTAATTGATGGGAGACTAGGCGATGCAAAGGTTTTTGCTTTGCTGAATTCTTGGTTTGTTGAGGAGGGTAGAAATTGTAGGTTATTTTCAAGACATCGTTTACCATTATCTACAAAGTCTAAAAAAAGTACAGAGATTTAAAAGAAAACAGGAAAGCAGTAAGGTGCGAAAGAGATCAGTAGCTCACGCTCCCATCCCTAACCATTGCCCCCCCAACTTTACATTTCCACACACAGGCTGATGCGTACTTGTACCATGTCGTGATCAAGAGCAGGA